TATCACACTGATTGATTTGCAAATATTGAACCACCCTTGCATCTAGGAATAAAGCCCACTTGATTGTAGTGAATGATGGTTTACTGTATTATTGATTTCTGTTTGCTAATATTTTGTTGAAGATTTTTGCATCTATGTACATCAGACATATTGGCCTGTAGTTCTCTTTTTCTATGGTGTCTTTATCTGGTTTTGGTACCAGGGTAATGCTGGCCTCACAGAATGAATTTGAAAGTTTTCCTTCCTCTTATTTTTTTTTGGAATAATTTGAATAGGTATTAATGCGTCTTGAAATGTTTAGTAGAATTCACCTGTGAAGCCATCTGGTCTTGGATTTTTATTTGTTGGGAGTTTTTTGATTACCAATTTAATTTCATTCCTAGTAACTGGTCTGTTCAAATTTTCTATTTCTTCCTGATTCGGTTTTGGTAGGTTATATATTTCTAGGAATTTAAAGAATTATTTGTATTTCAGTGCTGTTCATTGTTATCTCTCCTCTTTCATTTCTGATTTTGTTTACTTGAATCCTCTCTCTTTTCTTTTTGATGAGTCTGGCTGAAAATGTATCGATTTTGTTGATCTTTTCAAAGAAGCAGCTCCTGGTTTCATTGATCTGTTCTATTGTTTTTTTAGTTTCTATATCATCTATTTCTGCTCTAATCTTTATGATTTTCTTCCTTCTACTGGTTTTGGGTGTTTTTTTTTTTCCTAGCTCCTTTAGATGTTAGGTTAGGTTGTTTATTTGAGATTTTTCTTCTCAAGATAGGCCTATATTGCTGTATACTCACTTTTTAGAACCACTTTTGCTGCATCCCAAAGATTTTGGACCTTTGTGTTTTCATTTTCATTTGTCTCCATGTATTTTTTTAATTTCTTCTTTGATTTCTTCATTGACCCATTCGTTTTTTAGTAGCATGTTATTAACTTCCATGTATTTGTGCTCTTTCCAGATTTCTTTTCTTATGGTTGATTTCTAGTTTCATAGCATTTTGGTCAGAAAAGATGCATAATATGACTACAGTCTTTTTCAATTTGTTGATACTTGTTTTGTGGTGTAATATGTGATCTATTCTGGAGAATGTTCCATGTGCACTTGAAAAGAATGTGCATTCTGCTGTTTTAGGATGGAATATTCAGACTATATCTGTTAAACCCAACTGGTCCAATGTGTCATTCAAAGCCATCATTTCTTTGTTGATTTTCTGTTTTTATAATCTGTCCATGATGTAAGTGGGCTGTTAAAGTGCCCTACTCTTATTGTATTACTATCAGTTAGTTCCTTTATGTTTGTTACTAACTATCTTATATATTTGGGTGCTCCCATGTTGGGTGCATATTTACAATTATTATATCTTCTTGTTGGATTGTCTCATTATTATATGGTATCCTTCTTTGTTTCTTGTTATAGTCTTTTTTCAAAGTCTACTTTGTCTGATAGAAGAATTGCTCCCCAGGCTTTCTTTTGACATCCACTTGCATGATAAATGTTTCCCCATCCCCTCAATTTCAATCTGCAGTCGTCTTTTGGTCTGAAATGAGTCTTGTAGGCACTAGATAGATGGGTCTTGTTGTTTGGGTTTTTGTTTTTGTTTTTGTTTTTAAGATTTATTCGTTCATTTGAGAGAGAGAGAGAGAGAGCACAAGTGGGAGGGGGAGAGGGAGAGAGAGAATTTTAAGTAGGTTCCATGCCCAGTGCAGAGCCTGACACAGGGCTCGATCTCATGATCCTGAGATTCTCAAGTCCAGTGAGTATCTTTATGACCATTATTTTAAATTCTTTATCAGGCATATGACTTATATCCATTTTACTTAGATCTGTTGCTGTGGTTTTGTCCCATTCTTCCATTTGGGACATATTCCTCTGTCTCCTCATTTTGTCTAATTCTCTATGTTTCTGTGTTAGGTAGGAAAGTCAGCTACGTCTCCCACTCTTGAAAGTAGTGGCCTTCTGAAGAAGAGGTCTTGTAGTGCCCTGTGTCGCAGTGTCCGCTGTTCCCCAGAACCTGGTGCTTTAGGGGGGGGTCTCCCATATGTGTTGTGTGCCCTGCTGTTGTGGCTAAGCCGCTTTTCCCTTCAGTTCAGGCACCTGCAGTGGCTCTCCTTGCTGTTTTGGGCAGTGTTTGGTCCTGGTGGTTTTAGTGGGCCAGTCTGGGGCCACCCTGGGCTTGAGTTGAGTCAGACCAGGTGTTTGCCAGAGATGCAGTAGCACCAAACTGCAGGGTGCTTTCTCTGTGTTGTCCTTTGAGAAGCTTTCATTGGCAGGCGGGGCCTGCAATCAGACCAGCTGTCTGCACTGCTGGGGCCACAGTATGATTGCTTGTGTGGTTCTCTTTCCTTCCCTCCAAGGCAGGAGTCACTTTGGAGTGGTGCTGACCCTTGTTGGGGCTGCCTGCACACTACCAGGCTTATGGCCCTGGTTTGAGTGGGCTCCAGCCAAGAGCACGTTGGAGGGGGCAGAGCCACAACATGCACAGGTGTTAAGTAAGAGGGGAGTGGTGTTAGCCAGTTAGGTAGGGAATATCAGTGCTGCGCTGGTTCCTGCAGGTGGTCATATGTTTTTGCTGGGGGGCAGGGGAAGGAAATGGTACCTACCAGCTCCTTTGTTCCTAGAGAAGTCTTCCAATGATCTGGGCTCCTCCAGCACATCTCTGAGACTAGTAAACAAATCTCCCTCCCATATACCCCAGGCATTTTTTAAACTGCTGCTTCTATGCTGTATCTCTGTGGGCTGTTTGTGGTGCTGTCTCTTTAAGGGTAAGGACTCAGGTTCCTCTTGTCCTCCATCCTCTCCCAGAGCTGAGCCACTGATTTTTAAAATTCCAGGGGCATCTGTCTGGGTCAGTCAGTAGAGCATGTTTAACTCTTGATCTCGGTGTTGTGAGTTCGAGCCCCACGCTGGGTGTAGAAATTACTTAAAATAAAAATCTCAGGGGCTCCTGGGTGCCTCAGTCGGTTAACCATCAAACTCTTGATTTCAGCTCAGGTCATGATCTCAGGATCATAAGAGGGAGAAGCAGGCCTCCTGCTGAGCAGGGAGCCTGATGCAGGGGCTGCATCCCAGGGCCCTGAGATCATGACCTGAGCTAAGGCAGAGGCTTTACTGACTGAGCCGCCCAGGCACCCCTCTCTCCCTGTCCCTCTGCTCCTCCTCTCCTGTCCCCCACCACACACACACGTGCTCTCTCGCTCTCTCTCAAAATAATAATAATAATAAAATTTAAAAATAAAATAAAAATCTTAAAAAATAAATAGAAAATAAAATTCCAGGCTTTAAGTCCTGCTGGTTGTAAGAACTCATGAAATTTGGTTCCTCTAGTTTTCAGAACCAAATATAATGGGGATTCATCTGCCCCCATGCGGGCTCTCTGGTGTAATAATCTGTTTCCCTCCCTTCTCCACAGCTCCCTCCCCACCCAACCCCCCTCTCCCTGCATACAGCAGTGGTCTGTTCACCTCCCGACTGCATCTCTGCCCTTCCTACCCTCTTCAGTGTGACCTCTTCTCTACCTTTAGTTATGGAGTTTGTTCTTCCAGTCTTCAGGTCGTTTTCTGGGTTATTTAACACTGATGAGAGTGTCATCTATTGTAACTCCCGTTGTCTATCTATTGATACTCCCATTGTATCTATCAGACAAGGTGAGCTTAGGGTCCTCCTACTTCGCTATCTTCCCAGCAATCTTCCAGATTGGTTTTTTAATCAAAGATTCTTCTATCTGCAATCAAAAATTGTTCACATTCAGGAGGAAGTTAGTAATACCAGCTTCCACATGCCATTCTAATCCTGGAAAATACAGAGGAAGGTGTTCAACTTAATAATGGTTGGTACAGCCTAATGAATGTCCAACATTCAAATACCAAATGCAGTCACATGGAAGTAGAGAAAATATCACAGAACACTTCTATGAGGCCATTAGTTTTTTTGTTTTTTGTTTTTTTTTTTTTACCTGTACTTTTCATACATAGCAAACAAGACTTTCCCAAAATTAGTATTGAGATTCACAAAAATCAACAAAGGCCAGATGATAACCTAACATTTACTGAAGTATCATAATATTTCCATATCTAACACTGACTGAATTAATATCTAACATTACTATGCTAAGCACATTGCCTGCATTAATCTCGTTTACCCATTTGATTTAATCCAGCAGATGCTTTTATTATTCCCCGTTTTGCGGATGAGGAGGGTGAGCCTTGGAAAGGTTCCATAACTAGCCCAAGATCATAATGTCAGTGACCACTCAACTCTACTGCCTTCCTACAAAATGCCACCAGTGAAATTAAAACGAGGCTTGTAAGACTCACTTATTACCCTGTACCTAGCAAGCCTTCCTCCTACGCAGAACCATGTCTCTCTCTCGTCCATGCTAGAAAGGCAGGCTGCTGCATATGCAGGGGTAGTGGTCAAGATCACAATTCCAAGCCCTCAAAAACAACTGTAAATTAAACTCTAAACCCCAGGAATTATAAGCAACCTGCCCCCAGGTGACACAGTTGATTGATGATAGAGGCCGACGTGAACCCCTGGGCTCCTGACTGACTACTATGATTTCCCATTTCATTGAGGTACCTTGCATCTTTACCTGAATCAGTTTTAAGATAAAGACTTCTAAACTCAGAAAACCAACAGGTACCACTTAACCCATTTTTTACATGAAAAGCAGTGTTTGGGCTCAGGAATCATTTAATATGAATCATAAAATGAGACCATTACATCCCTACTGGTTTAAAATGCAGTAATCATAGTTCACTTGGACTGCATTTCTGAAGGTAATGGAATCAAGTGAGTTTTTAGGTTGAAAACTCCACCCTCAGCAATCTGTCGCTTTGCTTTTTCCTTGTCTACTCTGCGTTATAAAGTTATTCATGAGACACTTATTACTGTGGGAAATTTTGCACTTGGACATGTCTTGAGTGGACCTGAGAGCCCTTCAGCCTCTTCTCCAGGACCCTCTCTGACATATGATAGCCTAACCATTGTCTGTCTGTCCTCCATCTAGCATGGCACCACGCTCCTCATGGTCGCCTCCTATGCCGGTCACATAGACTGTGTGAGGGAACTGGTTCTGCAAGGAGCAGACATCAATCTCCAGAGAGAGGTAGGTCAGGTTTACACTTGAATAAGAATGACCCAGGTGACAGAGAGTCGAAATTTTTACAGTAGTGAATTGGTTAGGAAGACAAGAGTAATCATTGCTTTTTTCCTACATGACATCGAAGCCCAGATTGCAGACTTTACTGTGCCTAAAATAAGGCCCAGAAATGGACCATTGGTTATACTTCAATTGAATGAATGTTCTCAAGCATGTGTTGTAGTCTGAGGTAACCAAACCTCTAACCACATTCCCTAAGCACTCCTACATTTCTTCCTAAGCTTAAATCAGGTCTTCCTTCTTCCCTTGGGATGAGGTGCTATAGAAGTTATAAGATTTTCACAGAGATCATTGTATTTTTAGGAGGACTGGGTCACCAACCTATTCTGAATGAGGCTCACTTGCTAGACTCTCTCAGCCTTCTTCATCAAACCATGATTTCAAAGGACTTCTCTGATTGGCCACACATTAAATAAGCTCTCCCCAAAAAGGCCATGTAGTGAACATTGAACTAAAATGTGAGCCTGTCCCCATGCTTCATTCAAAAGCCATCTTGGGAGTTCAGTCTGGCTAGAGGATCCATTCTTGGTCCAGTGAAGAAGAGTGGTGGGAGGCTGCGCCTTTTAACATACTTTGGGAGTCTGATCTGAGGGGGATCCATTTATTTCCAAGCTGATCTAGGGCCTCTAGGTCATCCCTAAAGGGAATCTGACCTCTCAGTCCACACTAACTCAGACCCAAGATGGCATCCTGGAGCAAGCTCCAAACCAAACTGGAGCTCTTGATTTTCCTTGATCCAGTCTTATTCGGGGGCCTGCCCTACAGTTGTTTCAGAAAAAATGAGTCATCAACCAAACTTTCATCAGTCAGTACACCCCATCTTCCAGGCTAGACTGCTCCCTCTGAGTGGAACAAATTAGGAAACCCCAGGTGTGAGGGCTGGATGTTCCGTGGGGCATGTAAAGTCCCTCCCCTCTCCCCTCTGGGTGTGACCTTGGCTGTGGACCATGGAAGAGTGACACTTGATGGATAGAATCTGGAGTCTGGTCCTCCATAGCCCTGGACCAGCAAGCCTGATCTATCAAGAGGAGCCATACAGACTATAGCAAATCCAATCTCACAGACAGATTCTTCTGAGCAATTTTCACAACACTGGAGTATTGTTTTAGGCCCTTTTTCACATCAACAGCTAATTTCCTTCTGGGAGGAAAATGTTCGGGCCCATTTAGAATTATAGTTTGAAATTACCCTAATCTTTTTGTTTTTCCTTTATGCTTCACAGTCTTGGTTTATTATAACTTTAAAGAATAGACAGAGTTTTTTCTAATAAAAACAATATGATTCAGATCTGCTTACTCAAAAAACTTTATCCTGAAGGGCGAGTTCAACACACACAAAAATATCTTCAGAACAACTGTGAAAAGCTGAAAGAAAAGAAACATTTGTTTGCTTTCCAGCCAATGTATGGTTTATATGGCTTTATATTTATCTGTTTGGTTCCAGCTGCTCAACTAATATTCTTGGATATGAAAACTATTGTGTATTGAACAAAATGGCCCTCAAGGACTTACCAAAGTGCGCCCAATTTAGAGGTAACCTTGTGGCTCAAATAATGACGCTATGTGAGTTCCCAGTGGTCTCCTGAATTTCCCGAGGCCACGTTAGCCTCCAGTGATAGAGCTGCCAAAGAGAGGCCCCAGCCTCACCTCATCTGTTTTGCAATCAGAGAGTACCTAGCCGTGCTATGGAAGTTACTCATATAGCAGGCTTCTACCTGGGTTCATTCTTAATCCACTTTTCCAATTAACCCATATCAAAATACTTTGTTTCCTGAAAAAGTACCTGTCATTGTTTTCTTTGGATGGCTATCTAGGTACACAGCTTGCAAGAACAGGAGGCTAATGATCCAGAGAGACCATTGCTCTAAAGAACCAGCAATATTGGCTAAAATTCTCAGGGATAGGAACTGTGTGTGCAGTTGTCACGAAGCCCTGGGTTACAATAGTAAAGCACATGCTTTTAAGACTTTTATTCACGTTCCAGACTGAAGTCTGGTTCTTTTGTCCACAGATTGCCACATTCATGTGCACAATGATTAATGGTACGTGTATGTTCCAAAATTGACTCAAACTGCTATAAGATTTTTTAATTAATATATTACAAAACCTTAGTGAAAAATCCTTTTTCTTAGTGAAGAAACAATTTCTAGAAATTATCTCTGGTAGTGTCTAAAATTTAATGTCTATTAAGAAGATGAAAGTTTTCCTATGCTAGCCACGTTTCTTCATCCAGACCTGTTTACATCTTCAGGTTTCTGGATCTCAGCATTCTCCACTGTAAGAAAGCAATAAGAGGATACTTCCCACTTGTTTCTGTGGGAACCAAGGAGAAAATCACTCCTGCGTTGCAGGCTGAAAGGCTCTGGGAATGGTCACATGCCCTGTGCCTCCCCAGGGCAGCGTCTGGTTGGGGGCATAACCTGAGATAGAAGGTCATGACTGGGAAGGTATTGGCTTGTGTTCTGCCACAGTGGTTGGGCTCATTGTTCCCTGTCTCATACACACGCACACATGCATACACATGTACACACACACTTAAGAACAAGCTTCAGAGTCATCAGTAATCCTTAGGGCCTGATCCTCCTGGCTTCTCCCACCTGGGTGAGAACCTACCACTTTAAGACTTCTGGGTAAGCCATGGAAGGTGTTTCTCCTCGCTGTGCCTGGCAAAGTGTAATGTTAGCTTCATCCCTGCTCAAAGCACTGGAGTGAAGAGCATCTTTATATGAAAAATATATATTGCCCACAAGAGCAGTATGATGAATTTGCTCCTATCACACAACGATTTGGCTACCAATCTTTGAGTAGGCTTGTAAAAATGGCTGGGAAGAGAGGATGCTAAAACTTGCATCTCCGAGTAACACTGATCCGGTTTAAGATTTGGAACCAGGCTGTTTCTTGTTCCTGTGTCCTCTTTTGAGAAATATTTTGAGTCCATTTGAGTGAATTACTTAGATTCATTCTACTCTGGGGTGCTTAACTTTGTAACCAGAACTCTGCCGGAATTCTTTCCTGTATGAATGAATGCCCATGTTAGCAAGCATGATGGTTAGTTCCCTGTGGCCACTGTAACAAATTACCACCAGCTAGGTGGCTTCGAAGATCAGAAATTTATACTTTTAGGATTCCGGAGGCCAGAAAATTCAAGGTGTTTCCCTTTGGAGGCCCCAGGAGAGAACCCATTCTTTACCTCTTTCAACTTCTGGTAGCTGCAGGCATTCCTTGACTTACAGCCGCAACTCCCTAATGTCCGCCTCTGTGGTCACATTGCTTTTTCCTCTCTTCTGTGTCAAATGGGTCTCTACCTCACTGTTATAAAGACAGTTGTCACTGGATTGAGGTCTCACCAGGATAAGCCAGGATAAGTGCCTTTTCTCAAAATCCTTAATCACATCATATGCCACAGAAGGTAATATTCACAAGTTCCAAAAATTAGGACAAGGACATATCTTTTGGGTCCACCATTCATCCCGTTATACAAACAGTAAAGTTCTCCTTTGATAGTCTCACTTCTCTGAACAAGGAATATAATCAGTTCAAATGTAGCTCCCTCCTATGTTAGAAGGCTTACGTACAAGGATATTTTGTTTAGTTTGCAAATGTATAAATCAAATGTAATGTAACTAAATGTCTTAAAACCAGCTGCTTGTTCTCTCCTAGTCAGGTACAACTGCCCTGTTCTTTGCTGCCCAGCAAGGACATAATGACGTCGTGAGATTTCTCTTTGAATTTGGAGCATCCACTGAATTTAGGACCAAAGTAAGAGAACTTTCCTGATTTCATACCCTGTTGAAGAACGTTAGCAATCATGAGTATTCATGTCTCTCCATCTATAGTGTGAATTTGTGCTTCTCTTTTTTTTCTAAAGATTTTATTTATTTATTTATTAGAGAGAAAGAGAGAGAGCACAAGCAGGGGGAGGGGCAGAGAGAGAGGGAGAAGCAGGTTCCCCGCTGAGCAAGGAGCACGACACGGGACTCAGTCCCAGGACCCTGGGATCATGATCTGAGCCAAAGGCAGATGCTTAACTGACTGAGCCACCCAGGTGGCCCACTCTTTTTATAAGATTTTCAAGCCTAAGAAGGTGGGTTTCACAAAGTTACTTGTAATGGCTCAGAGGTAGTCCTAGGGAGTCAATTCAAAACATGACATTTTTTGATGAATCACAGACCTGTACCCCTGAAACAAATAATACATCATATGTTAATAAAAGTAAAAAAAAAAAATGACATTTTTACTCTGGGCTCATAATTTTATGGGGAATTATTTAGAGTCTGTCTTGCACTGGTAGCTTTGGGACACTAATTTTTGGGACACTAATTTTTGTTATCAGGATGGATACAGTAGCAGGTGTTTTGTAACTCCCTGTTTTCATGGGCGTTTTTTTTACTTCAAGGTTAATCCCAGTGCTCTGATAGGAACTGTCAAAGTATTTAAGCCACTCTTAGTGAATCTGAGAGATTTCTAAGGAGGGCGATTTGACAGGCAGTTTACTTTCTGAGATGTCCTCACTGAACTATGTAATACATGATTACACTTTATATAGTTGGGCGAGGAAATGTGATTCTTCCTTTAAAGAAGTCATTGATTCTTCATGTTCGACACACAGATAAGAAAACTTAGGTTGCAGAAAGTTCAATTTTGTGTTCATGATATCATTTTACATGATAACGGTTTATAGTAGGAGAATTTGAACTGCTTTAACATTTTTGGAATTATCAACTTATTTCCAGCCTAATCACAAACAAAAAAAATTCCTGGAAATTTGCCTTACTTGGAATCTTTTAGGCTTTCTTAATCCTTTGTATGTGATATTTGGATATCAGGGGAGTTTCCAGTGGTTTTTTTTTCTTTTCCTGTTAAGATGCTATTAAGTAGATCTGAATTTCAGATAGGATCAGTCTGTTCTGAACATGCCATTGCATGGTACACATGCCTCTGTAAATGCTGAATATAATATACAATAATCCAAAATATATGTGTGTGTATATTTTTATATTATCATTTTATTTGTCATTATAAAAGTAATACAACTAAAAATAGAAAGTAAAGTTCGACAAATGTAAATCTCAACTCTTTGAACTAAGTCAGAATGATCATGCACCACCATATGGCTGCTTCAGTCTTCTTGGTTAACAAGTTAATGCTGGCTTAAAGCCTTTGTCCCTGCACCACAGGGCCCAGAGCGCAATTCCAAATGTTTCCATTAGGTCAGCTGCAGGTGTCCGAGAACTTTCCATGGGAAGAAGAGAGTGTCGAGAGGTGTTGAGTTTTCATAATGATCCTGACATCAAAACTGCCTTTGTTTCAACAATTGTTCTCAACATTATTAAAGCTATATCCCACAAAATGTGTTTTTAAAAATAAAAAGTACAAAGACACCTGGGTGGCTCAGTCAGTAAAGCGTCTGCCTTTGGCTCAGATCATGATCTCAGGGTCCTGGGATCGAGCCCCACATCGGGCTCTCTGCTCAGCGGGGAGTCTGCTTCTCCCTCTGCCTGCCCCTCCCCCTGCTTGTACACACACACACACACACACACACACACACATATGCATGCAGGCGCGTGCACTCTCTCTCAAATAAATAAAATCTTTAAAAATAAGTAAATAAGTAAAAGGTACAGGGGCACCTGGGTGGCTCGGTTGGTTAAGTGTCTGACTCTGGACCTCGGCTCCGGTCATGATCTCAGTGTCATGAGTTCAAGCCCCACATTGGGCTCCACGCTGGGTATGGAGTCTACTTAAAAAATAAATAAATAAAACAATAAAAATAAAAGGTACCAGCTCTTCTATGACAATCACCATATTTTATCTACTCTCTTACCTCATTAGGCAAAGAGAAAAATCGACAGAACGGAAGTTGGAAATGTTGGTGCTCATTGCTACTATTGCAGTTTTTATTGTCCCACACCCCACCCACACTGGCCCCCACCACCAGCCTCAGCCCTCACAGCTCAAGTGCCCCCCTGCCACAGCCTGTGAACAAGGGAGCTCTTACGACAGTGTTTTCTCCAAGTGAGGCCCACCTGCCACCTTCACACCACAGCCCCCTAACGTGACTGGTCAGAAAGCCTGTTTCTGGCCTCGCCAGAATCAGACCCTGTGAGGGTGGGAGTCGGAGGGCAGGCATTTTGGATAAACACTCTATACCCCAAATTTAGACACCACACTATCTTAGAGTTATGATTTGTATTTCAGAACCAGATGACATGTTCCTGCATTATTTACAATTAGCACAGATGTCCACAGACCAATTCACAGAGCCAAACAAACAGCTCCCCGGTTGTAGATGGGAAAAGATAATGCCTTGGCTGCAGCACCTGAGAAAAACCATCAAGGGTTTCAGTTGACCACAGACTCAGTGAGTCAGTAGTGTGATGTGGTTGACATAAAAGCTAATTCTAATTTAGGCTGTCGAGATAAAAGTAGAGTAGTAGACGGAAAAAGGGAAATGTCCCATTCCCCATCAGACCACATCTACTGTTCTGGGCTCCGATCTGTTCTAGGGCCCACATTTTAAAAGAGATCTGGACAAACTGGCACATGTTCAAAGGAAAATGCTAAGTAGGTTGGTGAGAGGCTCACAGTGCAAAAGTTATCCACTCTTAATGGACACACACCTTGTCCCTTGAAGATGATGGCCCCAGACGGTTGATCCATAAATCACCTTAATCTCAGAGGCCTGCAGCTGCAGGGGGAAACCACAGGGAGAAGCCAGCCTTTGTCAAGCGGGTCTCTAGCCAAAAGACACAGGAGACTATTTGGGTAATTCCAAGACAGAACTGACTGGCACAGACTTTCTATGCTTCATTTCCTTTATTGAGAGGCAAATAGATGATTCTGCATTTGACCTGGGGAATTACTCACAATAACATAGTCCAGTAACTGTAATGTATCCCAAGCAAGTCATCCACTTGTACTGCGTGATGCCTTTAGGAGGAACCCTGTCATGAATATAAAGAGAAAGAGATGAAAAAGGAAAAGTGAGTTTGTTGTTATCTATGGGGAAAGTCTTCTCCAAAGCTCTCCCTCTGTAAGGAGCATCTGCTTGGTAAACATGTGCCTGCACCCTTTCTAACGTGTTGCCACTTTGCAGGATGGGGGCACAGCCCTGTTGGCTGCCAGTCAGTATGGGCACATGCAGGTGGTGGAGACGCTGCTGAAGCATGGAGCCAACATCCACGACCAACTCTACGTGAGTGCGTTTTCAAGGGCATGTTGGGTGGACCCTTGCCTATCCCCTCCTCACACACAGCACTGCAGTCTAAATTCAGAGGCCGGAAATGCCACCTTCAAAAATGTTTTAATGAACAGCAGGACTTTAATCTGAGACATCAAAGAAAAAGATAGATTTAACCAGATGAGCTTTTTCTGTGGAGAAACACATAATCTTGTTTACCCATCTTTGTTCTACCCTCTTAAATCTCTTGTACATATGAAATATTCATATAATGTATGTAGTTAGGATCTTCAAAAATCATGTGACACGTACTTACCCATAAGATAACCAGCCCAGCATATGGACTTGCTGAAAAGCAAAATAATGCTCCTGTCGTAGAGTTATCCAGGAGGAAGAGCACACATGAAGGAGAAATCAAGTTATTTGGAAGAGAAGTGAGGTTGGGGTGGTGAACTGTGAAGTACATGCACACCATCGGCCTTCAAGAGGCATCTACCACAAGTGTGGGTCTGTTGTAGTTAATTGACAATTAGCTCATTGCCTAAAGGCTCTTTTAATTGTCACCGTCATTCCAAAGGATTTATGGCAAATGTTATTCTGGTTTTGGACAACAACAACAAAAATAAAACATGAGGAGATGAAGTAACTTGATAGAGTATCTTCATGAGGAGTGAAAGAACCTACTACCAGTTATGTAGGAATCATATTTTAGGCTATCCTACCACCAGATATTTAGCACTATGGCACCATACTTTCACAGACAAGTAGTGAGATGTGTCCATGTGAACTTTTCCATTTGCACACCCTTTCCTGAGTTTACACGATTGACTGCCACATCAGAGACCTCTTTGAAGTACATAGCAACGAGCATCACCCTTTTGCACTTCAAAATCTGTAACACCCTTTGAACGTGTGGCTTTCCCATTGAATGACTGAATTACTTGATTCGTATCTGAAAGAGTGATTCTCAGCTCTGGCTGCCATTAGAATCACATAGGGAACTAGAAAAAAAAGGGGGGCTCTTCCAGGCCCATTCCAGACTAATCCAGAATCTCTGAGGGCACAACTGGGCAGCAGATGGTTCTGATGGGTGGCCAAGTCTAAGGAACATAGGTCTACAGCTTTGGCTATTTCTTTGGCTGCATATAATGAAGTATATCTGAGAGCATGAATGAGTCTGTGTGTGTGTACATATATATATGTGTATATATATACATGTATATATATATGTGTGTGGTTGAACAGGAAGAGCCCAAGTCTTTGGAAAAGGAAAATGAGTTGTGATTTTCATCCCATTACCACTGATAGTCAACAATCCAGATTGCCTGGCATAGTTGTACTGTTAGTACATTCCATCTAAAAGGCTCACCCAGGGTGGCACATCATCTTAGAAATGCAGAGTTTGGGGAGAGCCCATTCCTGTACTAAATTCCTCTGTTATGAAGTGACTCAAGAAATTTCATGCACTGAAACTTCCATTTTATGTTAAGACGTTTACTCTTACCCAAAGCATCAAAATATAATTGTTTCCACTAAAAACAATTGAAACATGGAGGATCCCCGGTCAATGACTCCTGAAAGCTTCTAGGAACAGAAGAAATGTGTCGTGTGCAGTAAAAACTGCAATGCTTGGATATCCATCTTAGAAAATTTCTAAGAGTTAACAGCTGCTAAGAGCGCGGTGGATTTTCTGTGACAACACAGTAAGGAGCAGCTGAACATTTCATCCCCATATCAAATGTCTGCTTAGAGATCTATACAGGCTGAGTAATTTTTTAATGATTGCCTTAAGAGGAGCCTGGCAACTCAGCAGACACCCACCAGAAATCCAGCACCCTCCACCTGGTTGGACTTGCAGGGAAAAGCGCTTTGTATTTTAACTTGTGGTTAATGTTCCTGATGGGAGGGGTGGTAATTAACTGGGTTAGTGAGGTGTTTTCCACTAGGATGTGCTCGGGTTTTCCACTGTGGTCTAAAAATAATGAAGCTCAGCATGCTCTGTGAATGCTGTCTACGTGAAGTGAACATCTGGGGAGGATGCATGCTCTGAGCTGATTGCTGTCTTTGCTGCCATTACCAATGTCATGTCTTTAAGAAAGAAATGCCCTGAAGACATAGACACTCATTTAAAAAGAAAAAAAAAAACCACTAAAGAAAACTGGAAGCAAGCACTTGCTTTGAGCTTTTCTGCAGAACTGCTTCGTTGTTTATAGGTCTAGTTGCTGTCTACTGGGCTGTCAGGGAGCAAGCTCATGGATAGTCTCACCAGGGCAGTTTTTCTAGAAGCGTCTTTTGTTTCAAAGCTTGGAAAAATGGCATGTTGGGGGGAACGTGGATAAAGGGGCAATAAAGAGAAAGGGGTAGGAAAGATCTAATTAAAAGGACACTTTTATTTCTGATTCATAAAACATACCAAACAGGTTTGGGGGACTTGTTTGTTGTTTTTATTGATAGATTTTATTTTGTGTTTGTTTTTAAACTAACACTGAGTCCTTACTTGACAAAAGAATTGAAGTGGAAAACCGTATTAAATGTACGTATTTGTTAAACTAATCAAAAGGGGGATAACCCCGAGATCCCACAACGAAAGCAGGTGGCCGCTAACGAGAAGTCTGTGCAGACGAGAGAAAAATGATGACTGGCTGTTTGGACAAGCCTTGGAGGCTGCTGCCAAGGGGCTGGATCATAAGCTCCATGATCAAGATTGTGTAGAGTGAACAGTCATTACATTTATTATAACTTATCCTTATAAGACTCTTTGAAATGTTACCTTTCCACCTGACTTACTGTGATATTTTAGAACTATTCTTCAAAGAATAAAACACTAACCATGAATATGAAAACAAAGTGGGGGACAGAAATGGAAGGTTGTATTAAATGGATGCATTTTTAATTGGATTCTTTTAAAATAAATGTGAAAGATGATTCGAACCCTTTCATTTTGACCTCTCTCAGGATGGAGCCACTTCTCTCTTCCTCGCTGCCCAAGGTGGCTACTTGGATGTGATTCGATTGTTGTTGTCTTCAGGAGCAAAAGTCAACCAGCCAAGGCAGGTAATGTCCGAGTGCGCAGAGCGGTGGGGCAGGGAGGGCCTGCCATCCTGCAGCAGCTCCTGAGATAACTGGTCAACTCTGGGCGTCATTCAACCCTTTCGCCTTGGTGATGAAGTTAATCTTGGATTAGGGCTTCTCCTGTCCTTAGCTTTGGGCTCACCTGCAAGCCTGTGATACCAGGCTGACTTCACCATTTACTGTTTTGGAAACGTGGGTGTTTGGTGTCTGAGGTCAAGTACATACTCGGCCACCTCCTGTTCAAATAAATTATGGCTGCGCTGAGGTCAGGAGAGTGGGCTAGCCTGGGACATAGGTAAATAGAGGTGAGTCAGGTAGCCTCGCCCCTGCCCCGTCTCTCCGCTGATATGCTGCCTCATCTCTTACCCCCGTTTCTTCTTTGACCACACCAAAGAGGAGCCCATTACCCACTGGGAATCATTAGTAGGTTCCACACCTTTCATCTCTCACAATTATAACACCACTGAGAATTAATTTACCAACAGCAAGCTAACATCTAGCAAATCAGTTGATACTTAAAGGAACAGAACTACCAGGTAATATAGGTCATACTTTATGAATAGTAAAGAACCATCCAAATCTAAGGCATTATAATTAGCTTCTCTTATATTGGAATGATTTCTGCACTAATTAATTTGTTTTTAACAAAACATTTCAGATTAAAGTAACATTACTTTAAAGGTAGTTTTCTCGGGAAAAGCCAAGCTGATTTCTTCCCAGTAAATGACACCCAGGCAGATCCCCACTGTAATGTAACCTAATACATAACGTAACATATGCCTATATGTTCACATAGGGAAGGTTGGTCTGAGCTCTTGGCCCCAGGCTTCTTCAGTCTTTAGAAGTCCAAGCACATAGGAAGCTGAAAAAGGGCCTTTGGGCAAAGTGGGTTTGAGGTCAGGAATCCTGAGTTCTAGATTCAGCTCTGCCAATAACTAGCTGTGTGGCTTAAAACTAGTGGATCAACCTCTCTGGACTTCTCTTCCTTCATCTGAAAATTAGGAGGTTGGACAGGATGATCCTGACAATCTCTTCAAGATCCCCCTTTTTAATAACTGTTTTATTCAATATTCAGAATTCTTAAGCACTTAGCATATGCCAGATACTGCTATAAATGTGAGATTAAATTTTTAGAATTTTAAAGATATTCTTAGATTTAGATGGCCCCAGGAATACTCTTGGGAAAGGAAAGCTTTTAGAAAAAGTTGCACTTCTATACCTGCCAGAGTTGACATTTGGGGATTGGAGCTTAATATTTTCTTGTTGGTCCTTCTTATTTTGAAAGTATTGATTGGTTCTGAATCAGACGCTTCATTTTGCCGAAGTTAATAAACAGAGCTGGTCATTTTTAGATTGCAGAAGTTTGACTTGGAGGCCATTATTGAGGGTATCACCGTGAATTTAGAAATGAAAGATTATCAAGATTATCAGGCCTCTCCGTCTGTACATCTTTCTGAAATAAACTCTGGCACTTTGACAAATCTATTTGTAAAATAAATTGTATTAACCATATGCCTAAGATACTATTCATAAAAAAAGACAAGTTGATATAAGAGATTATATTTCAAATAGTGCATGGATTGTGACCACTCGAACCCACGTTGAGTCATAGGATGACGCCAAAGCCAAGAAATTAAAGAGTGTGCTAACAGTACCATGGTGGCCACACCCCCATGGCTGTTTTCATTCCTCACAATGAGGATGACCTGGTCAAAGCAGATGACCTAGTCCAGCCGTGGGAGGACCCCTCCCTCGGATCAAAGAGCAAGTGACATGCCCTTCAAAGACTGCATCTAATGCAATTGTTTGGAATTATGAATCCAACTCTGAAAAGATGGTTATTCAGAAAAAAAGTGTTTTATAAAATAAGACTAGCTTTGAAGGAAAAAAAGCAATGGAATTTTTCCTTTTTATAGGGTACATTCACCCCACTCTACCTTCAAGCCATAATCTTTTTATTACCTGCCATGAGCTAATAATGAAAGGTTGTCTAGCCGGGTCAGACTAGCCCAAGTTCTGTCTTCTTTGAACTGTAAACTCTGCAAAAAAAAAAAAAAAACAACAGTAAACTCTGCATATTTAATTCCCTTCCTAGAAAACAAGCAGTGTCATAAATATGGCAAAAGTGATAGTAGTCCTGGCTGACTTTGTCACAAGTTAGGAGGAGGTTTAAAAAAAGTATAATTAAAAGTTTCCATTAAAATGGCCCGTGAATGGTAGAATATGACATCGGCAGGGCATTTGGACACCAGCATATTCTGAAATCTCAGCTGACACACGGAGTCCCTGTCAGAAAATTCTTGAATTTATAAAACAAAGACAAGGATGTTTGCCCGATTTCATTTCTTAATGTTTTTAGAAAAATCTGATTTATGATTTTTTTTCCTTGCCATTCTCTGGGGTCCCTCCATTTTATGGTCCCCTGGACAACATGTTATCGGAGTTGCACTGAAATTATTCAGCTGACCTTTGATCTGAGCTGCAGGGAATCTGAACAGTAGTAGTCCTTGTAACTATCATGGATGAACTAACTGAAAACCTCTCTAGGGCTTTTGTGAGAAGGAATCAATCTCAAATCCATAGGCAGACTTTGGAAAGACTAAGCTCTTGATTTGAAACTTGAAAAATATTTCCTCCTTGTTCATCCTAAAAAGGTCAAGAGTCACCGAGATCATTGTACTCTATAGTCAAGCTAAAAACTCATCTTCAGTTCTTTCTATGTGACTGCAGCATGTACAGTTGATACACACGTCAAGCCCTTTTAATCACGAGCTAAGATGGCTAGTCTGTTTTTCTATCAACAAAATTCTTTGATATATACTTTTCCCAACGCAATTCATCCAGCTTATTAGACAGTACTTTCATAGTGTGGCAAAGGTCTGAGTGTTTACCCAGGGCTAAGTCTGGCCTGTCATCACTCATCTCTAACTTGTCCTCTCAATGTGCTAATCAGGCTCTCTTTGAAGCCTGACAGAAAGGTCATGTCATAAAATGTCTTCTTTAGCCTTGGTTTGCACTGTATGCAGAGATGCTGGGGCCCAGATAGTGCTGGTCCTCCCAGGTTGCAAGCTTGGAGGGGCAGACCCAGTGGTGGGCAATGGGAGAAAGTAGGGCTAATTGATTGATGTAATGTCCTGAGGGCTTGGGGTGGAAGCAGACAGCAACAGGGAGGCCCCATTGCTTGCATGCCCTCTGCACATGGTAGGCACTCTGAAAAGGTATATTGACTCCAGAAGATACACCATGGTTTGAGCAGAACTCCAGTGAGGCTTAGAAGGCCAAAAACATAGTGATCGGTGGCTGCAAACTAGAACAAGGCTCAGATGCAGGGTCTGGGCTCATGGCCAGGACACCAGTCCCAGGAAGACTGTGAGAGCCAGCTAGGGAACCACAGCCACATCTCTGGGTGGGGAGCAGCCTGTGAGTTATGGGGATATGGATAACTTAAGAAAATGAAACACAGTCCATTTTGCTTATTAACTGCATGACCTTAAGCAAGTCACTTACACTCCCTGAATTCCAGGGATTCTTCGGGGGTTTCTCTTATTATTACTTTAATTCCAGTACAGTTAACATACAGTGTTATATTAGTTTCAGGTATATAATATAGTGATTCAACAGTTCTATATATGTGTTTCATATAGGACTAGAAGCAGCAGAAACAAAGAACTAGTACCACTAAATATATTCATTCCCATGGAACAAAATGGTTTTAATACTTTTTCTAAATAATCTTTAGGACCCTAACTAAAATGATCCAACATTTAGTTTCTAATACAAATCATGTCATAGGCTCCGTCTCATGATATGATCTATCTATAAAAATGTATTAGAGGATACTTGAAAATATCATCTCAGATGGAAGGAGGGGATAACCCAGTCAGAAGGAACTGCACAAGTCACCTGTGTAACCATCTATCAGTACATAAATCCTCTCTCTAACGATCCTGCTGAGTGGTAATCAGCCACTGCTGAACCCCTCCAGGCGTGGGGGGCTCGTTACTACTATTGAGTCTTTAACCAGCCTTCATCACCACCTCTGTCTTACACTGAGCCAAAGTTTTGCATAGCTTTTACCCAGCAGTCCTCTTTGTGCCGCTTGGTATGTGAAATTGGTCTAAATCCCTTTCTGTTTGGTTTGCGCACAAATAGTAAATGACAGTGGTCATAACCCTGTGAATCTCGTGTTCTTCAAGCTAAGTGTCCTATTTCCTTTTCTTAAAAAGGTACCGGGGAGGTCCTAACTTCCTGTGATTTGTTTTAACATATTTTAAAACTATATATTTTTGTCAGGAAGTATTCAAAAACAAATTTTTAAATGTTTTTCCTACTCCAATTCTCTCAAAACTCAACAAAAAGGAGCCAAGTTGACTTAATTTCTATCGTTTTCATAGGAAAAAATAAGAGAAAACAGGAACTGAGGTGTACAGAAGAAGGGAAAAACCTCTCTCCACAAACCAGATAATCAAGTAATAAGTACTTTGATTTGACCATAACGCTCCAACTCACATTCAAGTTCCTGGGTTTAACCACAAATCTCATTTTACCAATCATTCCCACCTGTTCAGTCAGTTATCTCACAGGAAAACTGGGAAAATCAAATAAAGCATGTGGAGTGTTTTCTAAACCAAAGTACAAATTAAGGTGCTTATTGTTTTTCATGATAAATACGCAGATTCAGTGACTGTATTTTCTAAGCACGCGCTCGCCAGTCCTGTGCTCAGCACCTTCCTACATGTTTCCATGAGTATCTCTGGGGGGCTAACATTTTTGCAGAAGAGAACAGAGGCTCAGGGTGATTTGCCTAAGGTCTCATAACCCGAAAGTGGCAGCTTCTTTTTCCACCTACCATGACTATTGCACGTAAAGTGATAAAAGTTCAGTGTTGGCATTACTGTTATGAATTGATGCTATTAATATCTGTTCCCAATATACCATCTCAACACTTTTCCACATGTTAGTATCAATTAAGATCATTTTACTAACAAGCAAGCCCTTGGAAGGCACATTGAACAAGCCACCGGCTGGCCTCTTTGCGCCCAGCTGCCTTTCCTTGCCTGCCCTCTAGTGGAGATAGTGACAAAGAACAAGTGAGCCCAGAGCAGGCAAGGAGGGGCAAGAGATTCCAGCACCCCGCCTCCCTCTCCTGCCCCCCACCCCGCGCCCACCCCTTGGGCCGCAGTCCGCTGGATTTCCCACCCTGCCTGAACCAACCACATCTGTCCAAGCCGCTGCGACTGCAAATGCTCTTCCTTCTACATGGAATGTCCTCCCCCACCCCCCACCTAGCAAAATTCTAGTCCTCCTTTAAGGCCCAGCTCAGATATCACCCCAGCTGACCTCCATAACCCCCACACAGTAAGCAGGCCCCTACCCTGGCTCATCTTGGGCACTTTTGTCCATACTTTATTATAACACTGTAGTCATCCTGAAATGTCCATGTCTCTTCTCCACTAGACTGAGTTCCGTTGAGACCAGAGACCATACCATGTCTTCCTTAGTATTCTGCTGGAGACTTAGAAGATACTTAATAATTGTTGGTTGGTTGAGTGAATGAAGGAATGAATGATTCTAAATTGGGAGAATCAAATTAGGTAATGAATGTAGACATGCTTTGTAAACGAAAGTACAAAGTAAGGTATTTCTATTGCTAATAATAAATCTTCAGATTCAAGAATATTCCTACAAAGCCCTTGTAAAAGCGTAAAGTGGCTCCAGGTGTTTGTCCTTCTTCCACCCTGTTTCATTCAGCACCTCTTCCCCATCTGTCCCGACACAGGAGTGCCCGTGTCCTCCTACCATCCCTCAGCACCCCAGATCCTTCTAGGCTCCTGATTTGCCATCCCCCACCACCCCACCCAGGCCTCTGTCCTCTGTCCCTTTGCCAGGACAGCAATGGGCAAGAATCCTGTGTCTGCTGTGGCTAGTAGACTGGAATTGAAATTATATACTATAGCAGAAAATGAAACTTTATGTTCTCTAATGAATCATCCTGCTCTTCAGCCCCCATTCCCACTGATGAGTAAATTCAGCCTTAGCTGACCGAAACAGTCCCAGGGGGCCATATTACCTTAGAGCCCAAGTTTAGTGAGTTATGGTTCCTCTGCCTTCCTCCTCGCCCTTCCCTCCTAAGTCCTCAGAGGTCAGACTACCACCCGGACATTAAGGTGGGGTGGGGACACTCATGTCTGGTCCTTGGGCTGGTTTGTCCAGCCTTTCCTGTCTGTGAGTATCCTGCACTGGTACCTTGTTGGCCTGTCATCATGAAATCATGACCTTCTATGGCCTTATCTTCCCACCCCCAGGCTGACTCCAGGCCACTGTTTACCCAGCACTTCCAGTTTCTCCTAGGTGCACAGATGTCTCATTGATGAGGACCAGGGGTACTGGGGGATGTCTCGGGCCCACTGGCCCAGACTCCTTCACCCATTTCTGTTCTCTCTCTCAGGCACCAGCCAGGAGCAGAGCTTCTCTAAGACGCTTTCAGTTTTCCTGGGTTTCATCCCAAGAACAGGAGAAAATCCTTTTCCATCTGGAATTCACCATAATTTACCTGGGTGCTTACCTAACCCAGATTCAAGCCAGGCGGAAAACGCATACACACACGTCTGACCTCCATCTCCCCCACGCCCTCTCCAGAGCTTCCTTCCAGCACTAGAAGGGTTTTCTGTTTTCCTTTCTGTCTGGCAGGAACCACCCTCCTATCAAATCCTTCTCCCTCCCTTGGATGTTTCACCTTTTCTTCTCTGGAGCAACACCTCCCTGCTTCATGGCCTCGTGCTCACAAAACAGGCTCTTTGGGGGCACAATACTCAGGAAATATTACCAGTAAATGTCACCCTGCTATGACTCGCTAGTGTGCATCCCCTCCCAGAAGAAATCATATCACATCCTGCATAAAACTAAAGTCCCTAAAAATGACTGGCTGTGGGGGATTCTAGACACCAGAATAGAAGAGTGGGAGAAATGTCTTTAGTTCTTGACCCTCACACATCATCTCCAAGAAAACTGCCCTCTCTCCTGTGGGAACGAGGGCCCCCACTAAGCAGGGTGTGTTGTGTGAACCCACCAGTAAAGCAAACTGACAGAATCTGGGGGAAATAAACACATGCTGGCCTCTCCTCCCTGGTTTTATCAAATCTGGTTCTGCCTTGGTGAGCAACTCCACCACTTTCCCACTCCGTGTTCCCTGAAGTCCCGCACCAAACTATGGGCTAAAAGATCCTGCCATAAAATGGCTGTATTATAAGCCCAAACCCGAATATTGGCAATCACGCAGGTGTTCCAGGCACTACCAAATGCCCGTCTGTGTAAATGGGTTAAAATCTCCCTCCTCATGTGTCGTCGGGAGGCTGTTTGTGGGTGCTACCTTGCTGCTCGGCGGCTGCTGGGTGGCCCGGTGGGAGCAAGCGTGTCCCCTCGCCGACAGGACGGGACGGCGCCGCTGTGGATCGCGTCGCAGATGGGCCACAGCGAGGTGGTGAGGGTGATGCTGCTGCGCGGAGCCGACCGGGACGCCGCCCGCAACGTGAGTCTGAGCCTCAGCTGCAGCACGTGGGGGCTGGGGGGTGGGGGGTGGCGCGGGTAGTGCATGCACAGACGAAGCTCCAAAATTCAACCCTGGACGTGCGGAGAAAACGCGCCTTTATTTGATCTGTATCTTCTCTGGGTTTTCTCCCAACGTCCACCGGCTCTTCAGCAGGAAAACAAAGTAAATGTCCGAGTCAGCTGAAACTTAGCAAGTGCTACCCAGTCTCCCTAAGGGAAAGACGTTTCATCCTCAGAGATCCTCCTCCACCTGAGCTGACTCCTGGACGAACCCGGGAGGATGCGGGAGGTAGGAGCCCGGGCCTCGGGCTGTCCTTGGGGTTGTCCCTAGCGGCTGCGCGTGCGCGTGCGCCTGCGCTGCGCCTCCTGCTGGCCCTGGACCGCAGTGCACGTCGGGGAGCAGCCTCTGTGTTTTGGGGTCCAGCAGTGCTCCTGGGGCTCCACCTCATCCGGCTTCCCCAGCTGCAGACCCCTGCACCACATCCGCCATTGGCCTCCACCTAATAATGCTAATATCAGCTAAGTCTGCCTCGATGGGCCCCACAGCAGGCCCTGTGGCCCGTAGAAACTAAGGGCAGCTTGGGGAGACCCTGCTGCCTGACCACAGGGTGGTGGTCATGCCATTTGATTTTTGGGTTTGGTTTGGTTTGGTTCTTACAGTGTCTGGCCTTTCTCCCCTTAGTATTACCCTTGCTTATGTGACCCACCTCCCTTCTTCATGTCTGAGCCCAGAAAGGGGTAAAGACACATTCCTGCCTACTTCACTGTCCTCTCTCCCACTCCATCTCTTCTTCCCACATCTCTGAAACCAGAAAAGAAGAACCCTCTAATCTCATTTTCTTTCTTCCTGATTCCAGTTAAACCTTTAGAGCAGGCTGGGATATTTCCTTTACTACAGAATTCTGTGAGCTGAATCCTCCAAATACAGCAATTGATATGTAAAAGCAGGGGGAAAAAACGGAACTTGGAAAATCTCTTCCCAGGCCAAAAAGTGATGACAGAAACTGAATATAAATTTTTGCCTTTTTGCATTTCTTTTTAACAGATTTCAATCTATCCCTTTCCTACTCACCACCTACCCACCCCAACCCCCACAGACAGATACCTAGGGCACACTAGAGCAAGATTATATATAAGACAGAGCAAACAGAAAAGCAGATTCAAAATGTAAAACAGTAAATATAGTTCGGTAATTATTTGTCATTAAAAATAGTTTAACATTAATTTCCACTAAGTCACGAACTGCAGACAATGCCTCTTTGGTCCATCTGTGTCCTAAAATACACTCTTGATATTCCCCTTGCCCCTTACCCAGTGTCCTAAGGGACTGGAAGAGTCTGAGTTCCTAAATGGCAGGGTTCTAAGATAATAAGTCACGAATTTTGTCTAGCATTCTTTCATGCAAAACTGAATAGGCTCTAAAATGCTCCTAGATTAAGAGACGTGGCCCGCTCATACTTTGGTTTACTCCTTTCACCTGTTCTGACAAGCATATTCCCGGTTCTCAACTAACATTTAGTTCTTAGCCAACACACGTTAATAGGCAAATTTTCTTTTCCTCTCTGTTAAGGATGGTACAACAGCATTACTCAAAGCAGCCAACAAAGGCTATAATGATGTTATAGAAGAGTTGCTGAAATTCTCACCCACCCTTGGCATTTTGAAGGTAAGACTTAAAGAGAAATTTTACCAATCTGTAAAAGAGAGGCTAAAAATTAAGAAGCCCATACCTGAGCACTGCAGGAGAAGCTGAGTGTAATTCACATAGTTAGTTGCATTCTTGAAAGAACTTACCTACAACTTCTTAATGTTGGAGATTCATGGGCACTGGTTGAAATGGCAGGATGGTAAGAAGAGTGAACCAGAGTCTGTTGCTACTTAGTTTTCCAGAAAAAAAAAAAATTAGTAGGAATTAAATTGCTACCTTGGAAAGTAAACTATCTTGATATATATATCTCATTGGACTAAAATCTTCCACCACTCATGAAACACATGATTTGTGTCCCATGAAACATGGAGGACAGGTGTTCATGTTTCTTCCCTTCGTTATCTGCAGCAAAAAACCACATTGTTATCTTAGGTGAAAGAAAATAAGCCTCACGTATCTGGACACCTCACAGAATGTGTCATTCTGGAGAGCTGGGTCTGCCAGGAAACAGAGCCCCAAAACCCTTTTTTAAATTTTAACCATTTGAGACTAAGATATTTCTCAATTACAGTGTATACCAGGGGTTGGCAATCTTTTTTAATAAAGGGCCAGGGAGTAAATATTTTAGGCTTCATGGGCCATAGAGTCTCTGTTGGAACTGTTCAACTCTACTCTTGTAGCATGAAAGCAGCCATGGGGGCAAAGGATGGCTGCATTCCACTAACACACTTTTTATGGACATTGGATTTCTGGAATTTCATATTTTCATGTAGTATTCTTTTATTTATTTATTTATTTTAAATCTTAGTTTGTTAGGACATAGAAAAACAGGCAGCAGGCTCGATTTGGCCCATAGGCTGTAGTTTGCAGACCCCTAGTTTACACTACTGTTTTCTTAAACGGAGAACAGGAAACCTGTTCTAAACTTGGAACAGTGGCTTAGCATTTGGAGGGATGTTTCCTCGGGCTTTATTGATGTATAAAAAGTCAATGTGTCCTTGAATGGTCCCAGAGGCTTTTTGGACACTCTGTATCTGATCTTTATATATTTAGGCTCTAGTCTTGTGATCAGCTGATACAGGACTGCTGTTGTCGGAATGCTGGCCCCTCTCTCTGTCCCAGGGAGCGACTTCTAATCTTCCATGAGCTTGGAAGCAGGAAACCTACATTCATTAACACTGTTTGTAAAGTAAGAATAAGTGGTCTATGAAAGGGAACTCTCTATGAATAAAAGAAATGAGCTTCAGAAATGGACTTTGTAATACCTGTCTAGTTTCAAAGAGCTCTTTTTCGGCTTGGTATTTTATTCTTAGCCGTGTTGCAAACAGATGAAGTTGACAAGTTGGTGAAAATTTAGATGGGTGAAATGACAAGTGAGTTGTCATACATGTTAAAAAGCAAACATGCCACTTTGGAAAGGAAAATGCTACTTTGCTGGAATTTTTTTATGGGTATTATATTTTAGTCTTTAATAAAATAAAGTAGCTTATTATTATTATAAAGCTAATGTGGAAAATAAGCTTGCATTTAGATGCTTTTGTAGACATAGGCATGTCTACAGAACAGATGTCATGTGACTGCCCATCATTCTTATATCAGGCTTGTTATATTCTCTTCCTCTCCCCTCCCAGAATCTGGCTACGTGCTGCACATAGATGCTTCCTTAGTTCAATAAATATTTGCAGTACATTTCATAAAATGTCTTCAACCCATCCAGCGGGCCCTTCTGTGCTCAAAAATGCTCCACCTCAGGGCTTGGGGGTTTCCTCACCCCACATGCTCATGCCCTGTAACCCCACAGTGGTGCTCCCACCCACCTGAGTGAGTGGTGTGCAGGTAGCTGGGCTGACAGGTCAGCCTGTTGGCTTGCCAGCCATTTCTCCAGCCTTGCTGGAAGCACGAAAACTATATATGTTGTCCTTGAAGAAAAAGACAAAATGTTTGACATAGCATTACTGCTTTTGCTGCAGCAAATTCTAATATATTTAAAACTGATTGACTGATCCTGAAGTCACGTGCACACTGGGCCAGATTTCTGGCTTCACTTGCCAAAGGACGTTGGCAGTATGTGTACTGACCGTATGCTGTGGACCTGAGGACACTATTAGATGCCGATGTGCCTTGGAAAGGGACTGTGAGGAAGAGCAAAGCTCCAACCTGAGTCTCCTCACTCAGGCTGGTTTATGATGAAAGCCAGGCTTGGTGCTGATGGCTGTGAGCCCACTCCTGACACACACTGTCGTTTTCTCTTAGAATGGGACATCGGCCCTCCACGCGGCAGTACTCAGTGGGAATATTAAAACAGTCGCACTGCTCCTGGAAGCAGGGGCGGACCCAGCCCTGAGAAACAAGGTACCAGCCTTTCCCTCCCTATCTTTTAACTCCTCTGGGCACCTGTGCAAAGAGATAGATAGTTTCTACCTAAGCCAGGATAACCTGTCTCGTGTACCCTGGGCCAGATTTCTTGTTTCACTTGGGAAAAAAAACATTGGCAGTACTTAGACTGACCGCCTGCTGTGTGCTGTGGACCTGAGGACACTCTATTAGATGCTGACGTGCCTTTGAAAGGGACTGGGAGGAAGAGCAAAGCTCAGACAGGAGTCTCATCCCTCAGGCTGGCCCCAGCCCCTCTCTTCAGACCTCGGCATGGTGAGGGCATGCAGGCCATCAGTAGGAGGAATGAGCGGTGCATCTGGATCCAGAGAATTATCTATCGTCCGTGGTCGTGAGCTAACAATGGTGCAGCCTCCCAAGACGGGGTGGGGAGTAGTAGTTGCGGGGAGTAGAGTTATGGGGTTCTATCATCAGAGAAGTGTCCTAAAAAATTCAAAGCCCTGGTAGTTTATTGCTGTCCTACATACGTCAAATGTGCATATCTTGACAACTGCTTGAGCTTTCTTTGCAGAGTAGAAGAGAAAGGGGGAAATGTTGCTCTTATACTGTTTTTTTGTTTTGTTTTGTTTTTAAGATTTTATTTATTTATTTGTCAGAGAGAGAGAGTGAGTACAGGCAGGGGGAGAGGCAGAGGGAGAAGAAGACTCCCCGCCGAGCAGAGAGCCTGACGCGGGACTCGATTCCAGGACCCCGGGATCATGACCTGAGCCGAAGGCAGCCATTTAACCGACTGAGCCACCCAGGTGTCCCTGCTCTTATACTGTTAACAGGACTTGGTGCCGCTGTTCCGAACCAACCCCTATTTTTATAGGCCAAAATCCTTAGTTTACAATTAGGTCAAACGTGGAGGTGGGAAGATGCCCAATACCCATTTTTTCCTATTTGACATCTGCATTAGCAGTCAAGTGTAGAACCTGGAGGAGGAGGGCAGCATCTCTGGGGGAGGGAAGGTCTTGAGAGAACACTAAAATACGAACTTTTAAAGGAGGGAGTAGGGGCACCTGGGTGGCTCAGTCGTTAAGCGTCTGTCTTCGGCTCAGGTCATGATCCCAGAGTCCTGGGATCGAGCCCCGCATCGGGCTCCCTGCTCCGTGGGAAGCCTGCTTCTGCCTCTCCCACTCCCTCTGTTTGTGTTCCCTCTCTCACTGTCAAATAAATAAATAAAATCTTAAAAAAAAAATAAAGGAGGAAGTAGGAGCGGTGCTTATCAATAAAGGAAGGTATGAAAAGCAATTTTCACTTTGTACTTATATGCTATTTGAGCTTTTATAAGTATCTATTGCTGTGTTAATTTCTTTAATAATAAAAACAAACACATAGAACCTTTTTCATGACATTTGGAAAAGGAACCATTAAGAGGTTCAATTAGACAACATGCCAAGAGTCTTTTATTTTCATTTTACTTAGCATGTGGAGTTATTATTTCCTTGTTCTTACCATTAGAGTGCTTGAAGACAACACTTCTGCTTACCTCTTCCTGAGATATTCCGATTTGTTTTCCATTAGCTGGCCTGGCTGTGTGATAAGGCAGCTGAAATCAGACTCATACTCTTATCTTTAGACCCTGGACACAGACTTCCTAAAGAGATTGATCTCTCTTGCTTAGCCATCAAGTAGCTATGGAAACTAAACAACATGCAATTCTTTGTCTCCTGGGATTTCAGCAATAAGGTTTATGGGGAATTTCCAGTGACCAAAATGCTGGACTTTGGATTGTCCCTAATAAAGCTACTTGAATATATAGAGCTATAGAGAGACTGCTCACGCCGGAGTTTCATACACCCTTAGAGAGCTGGGAGTTGTTGCCAAGGAACTCCACCCCCATCCCACCCATCCACCGGCCACCCCAAAGAAGCCAGCCACTTAGAGTCATCTCTAGAAGCAAGGGTGCTGGGGTTCGGGCAGCCACCCAGGACTCTTGAAGGGGGTATTCTTTGCCTTCATTCATTCAATGCATCCTGAGTACCTACTAGATACCATACACGGTGCTGTATACTGGGGAGACAGTGGTGAATGGAGTTCCCATTGTCTCTGCCTTCAAAGAGCTCAGAGTTTACTGAGGAATAGAGACAATTAAACAAGAATTTGCAATACAGGGCGCCTGGGTGGCTCAGTCGGTTAAGCGTCTGCCTTCAGCTCAGGTCATGATCCCAGGGTCCTGGGATCGAGTTCCGCATCGGGCTCCCTGCTCAGCAGAGAGCCTGCTTCTCCCTCTCCCTCTGCTGCTCCCCCTGCTTGTGCTCTCTGGCTCTCTCTCTCTCTCTATCAAATAAGTAAAATCTTAAAAAAAAAAAAAAAAGAAATTGCAATACAGTCACGAGCTATCAGCAGGGAGTAATGGATGCTACCGGAGGCTTCCCAGAGGAAATGACTTCTAAGCTAATACAGAAGCAATCTTCTGCTCCAGGGGTGGAGTTCTGCTCTGGGACTGCGACGCTGATGCCTCAGGAGAGGGTAACCAGCAGCCCCAATGGCCACTCCCCACACTGTAGCTGTCCCCATGGGTGCCAGCCCGTGTTCCCGATACTCCCAACTGAGGACTCAGAACACAGCTTCTCCCAGGAGCAGTGGGGAAAGAGAGTGTTTTGATGCTGTGGTATCATGAACACGGGCCTTTGGTCCTGCTCCATAATGAATAAGATGGCCTTTGGGGGCTAGCCTCGGGCACTAGCCATCATAATAGTCCATACAACTTCAGCAACCTGAGAATTCAGTGGGGACCAACCTGGAGAGAGGAGGCATGAGACCAGGTTTTTAGAACTACGTGGATGACACATGGAGCAGCAATGCGATTGACCAAACCTTGACAACAGGGTTTGAGGATATAAAGCCTTTTTCAGTGGTAGAGGTTACACACGGGAGCTGTAACTCAGCAAGCTTGTAGATAAAGTACAGCTTCTTGGATCTCCTCTTCCTCCTGACCATAGAGGATCCTCTGGCTACCTGCCAACCTGCTCACCAAGGTTCACCCACATGAAACAGCTCTGTTATTCCTGAATATACTCCAAGAGTAGATGGAGCTTACGTCTATCTACCAGGCGCATTTCTGTGCTGGCCCAGGCATGAGGCCTGTACAATGTCTGTTCCTACAGGAACTAATAATAGAATCTGAAGCCTCTAGAGAGGCCTCTGGTCTATAGCAACATAGCATAGTCATTTCCTGCTCAATTCAATCCAGCATCAGCATCAAGGGTCCCTTGTGGTGGGCTGGGGTGTAGCCACAGGACATGCTGTGCAGCAGACCTTTTGTGGCAAACAGAATTCCCAGCAACTCTGTGCATAATTCCCAACAAGTGAGGGCCCAGCTAGCAGGTGGGGGTGTCAAAGAGCAGGACCCAACCTAGAAGGTAGGGAATTCAGGGGTTTCACCTAGGATCGGAGTCCCAGATAAAGCAGGGGTGTTTCCAGGTGTGGCCATGGGAGGAAAAAATATGTGAGACAGGTAGCATCTGCATCCAAGACCTCTCCCCTATTCAGGGTGCCTTTCTATCCTTTAACTGCCTCCCCTGAAATCCCAAGAACACCCCGTGATTCATCTATAACAACAGTTCTCAAAGTATGGTCTGTGGACCCCTGAGGGTCTGGAAGACCCTTTCAAGAGGTCTAAGAAGTCAAAACAGCACACTTAATAATACAAAGATGTTATTTGCCCTTTTCACTACACTGCTGTTTGCTTTAATGGTGTAAAAGCAATGGTGGGTGAAACTATTGGCACCTTGAACATCAAAGCAGGGGTATAAACCATACCAGCAAATGATTTTACAAAACTCTGTGGGTTATTTTACAGATTTTGTAAATTATTTTACACAAATACCAGACTTACTTAAGAACATCTGATGAAGCAGTAAACCGTTTCAGTTTTATTAAATCTGGACCCTTGTTATACATCTTTTTAATATTCTACGTAACGAAATGAGAAGTATGCATCCGGCCCTTCTGCCGTATTACTGAGGTGCAGTGGTTGTCTCAGGGAAAAACACTCGCGCCATTGTCTGAATAGCAAAGTGGGCCAGTTGCTTTTTCATAGAGCGCCATTGTTTCTTCAAAGAACAACTAGTATCTACCACGTGAGTCTGATGGCTTCTTAATACAGGCTTTTCTGATGAATTAGTGCTAATATTAATGAAGGTGATCTTTTGAGATTGTATAATGCAATGTGTCAACATTTGGCATAATTCATTGAACTAATATTTTCCAAATGGCCAGTGTGTGATGTTACAAATCATACATGGGGAAAGATTCTAGCTGTAGATAATTAGATCTATGGATTTTTAATGTAAAAACCTCATTGATACGGCTTCAGATTCTGCACTGCAGTTACCTTTAAGAAACTACCCCTTGTTTAGTATGGGTGTAGCATCAAAGGAGGATGTCTACAATGATCTGAAGAGGCTGTTAAAATGTTTCTCTCTTTTCCAACTACCTATCTGTGCAAAACTGAATTTTCTTCATATACTTTAACCAAAACAACGTATCACAGTAGATTGGATACAGAAGCAGATAAGAAAATCCAAATGTCTTCAATTAAGCTACACATTCAGGAAATATGCAAATCTGTTAAACAATGCTATTCTTGTCACTGGCTTTTTTGTTTTTGAAAATGTGGTTTTTTGTAAGTATTATTTATGTTACCCCAGTGCATTTACAATTTTTAATGAATTATGGTATTTTTAAATGTTCTTCTTTTCATCTCTAAGAAGTTAAAAGCAAAAGCTCATTGGGATCCTCAATAATTTTTAAGAGTGTAAAAAGGTCCTGAGAAAAGAAAGTTTGAGAACCACTGCCCCATAACGTCGATTGCATGGGGTAAGGACCCACTCATGAAATAAATGCATAAAGAATGTGTCTCAGCAGCATGATGAGAAGAAAGGACATGCAGTGAAACCCAGGGTCGGGGGGAAGTGGTGACCACAGAAGCTGCTCTTAACCAGGTATCTCTTATTCTCTGAATGCCTCCTAACTCTGTTTTCTCAACAGATACCTGTCCTGAATCTCAGGTCCCTAGCGGACACACTGCCCCGTACTAATTAAATATAAAGTATCAAATTTAACATTACCAGTATTTACTGAGGACAAACTAGAGGCACCAGGCATTGTGCTGGAAATGAGGATACGATGATTAATCATACATGGACCCTGGCCTCCGGGGAATCACAATGTACTAGAGATATGGCTTAGAAAAATAACTCTAACGATGAGATAAGAAAATAACAAATGATATTTATATGATTAAAGGAGACCTTTAAGGCCTTAAAACAAGAGTGAGTCCGGTGGGGTTTTTCACAGTAGAGGAGCAAGTTTGGGTCAGGGGCCCCTCTGTGGAGTCCCTAAAACCATCCCAACTGTGAGAATTCATCAATGCCTGTCTTGTCTTCTTTCAGGCCAATGAACTTCCGGCAGAACTAACCAAAAATGAACGTATACTGCGTCTCCTCCGAAGTAAAGAAGGACACAGGAAGAACTAACTTAGTTCCATATTTGACTGAAAGATAGAAACCCCATTGCCCAAAAAGAAATTGCTTTTCAAATAGTGTTGGAAATTCCTTTAAGCAAGGAAATGCCCAGAATGCCCACCCTGGGTCCCTGACCAAGAAGAGCTGGGCTCTGTGCCCCGAGTCAAGAACAGAAAGACTCAGGGACCCCTTGCCCTCACTTACATGGGCTTCTCATGCTGGCCAGTGACCCCAATGCTGTGGGGCCTGCCAGATTCGTGGAGTCCACAGAAACTCATTTTAAACCACACTAAGTTGGGTCTCTCCGTTAAACTCTAAGAGTTAAACCCTGGAAGAGGTTTAAGCAAGATGATGAAAGCCTTTAAAAGACTGAAAGTGTGATCTTCAGTGAATCAAGGCACTTCTGCTTTTGTGTTAATTCTAAGTGTGCTAAGAGATATAGCTCCCTCATATTTTACACATAGATGTCTGTCCTTCCAATGTAAAATGTTTTCTTCTACCCAAAGATTGTAACCACGATTCTGAAGCAATGACGTATAAATTTACATTAAAGAGCCACTTCTGACATTCCAGCATGTGATTTTCCAAGATGGACTGTTGAACTATAAAAAAGAGAAATTGTTTATTTGTGAGGTGACCCTCGTCTCATTCCTAACACGGAAAAAATCATTTTTACCTAGAATCAATATGGTGGGTACGGTAGGATGCAAGTGGCAAATTTGGAAACTCAGAAAATTACAAACCACAGGAAATTTAGGCTTCTCTCTTTGAACTTTTACTTTGGTTCTATTGCTGGGAATCCGCTTCCCATGCCATAACTAAGTAACTTAATATGCTGTGTAATCCTGTTGCTTGACCCAATGACTTTGAGGTCCTTGGATAAAATGTGACATATGCAAGTACAATATGTTGCTATTCTATTGCAGGAGTATAAGTAATAAAAGTCTGTTATTAGTATTTAATAAGTTTTCATCTATGCATGTTCTTGAGCTGATTGATTCCAAGAAAGAAACCTGAGTTTTTTTGAATTATTCCTTGGAGGGGAGTCAAAATTTATGTTCAATGCACTTTATAATCAATGGTGTCTAAATGCCTTAGTCAGTGCCTAATTGCACACACAAATTAGACCATCTTTCTATAATCTACCATAATAAACACTGATGGTATTTCTGTTATTTAAATACTTCCTTAGTTTTCTTTTCATGTTCTGTTCTGGTTTCCAGCCAATGTTCTGTGTAAAGACATGTTAAGATGGAAGGAAATGCAGTCCCCAAAGTTGTTTTTTTTTTTAACCAACTTGCAGTGGTTCTAAAAGCATTATCTTTAAGTCAGTAAGTGATGGAATATAATTTTTGAAATTAGAATATATTCTCTTAAAGTTTGTTATGATCAATAAAATAATCAATCAATAAAAATCAGCTTATTTTAGTCAATAAAGGCAGTAATGAACAAGCCACAGAGCCCCCAGAGATGTCTACAGCCTGACTAACTATGCAACAAGTCTGCAATCTAATTTCTGGATAAAAAAATTAAAGAAAGTTCTGTCTATATTGCTAAAATACCCAGATAGAAACATTTTAGTAGCTAAAAAGCAGTGCCAGTTTCTTCACTGACTTTCTTTTACTTAGCGAAGTAGTACAAATACACTTCCCCCACAGGAATTTCATAAAACTATGTTCATTTTGAAAAGGAAATAGTGTGGTCTTAAATGTTTTCCATTTTTTCCCCCTTTGTTAGCCCTTAGGCCGAAACTGGTTGCTCATCACTGATATAAATCAAAACGGTATTATGGACACTGAGATAACAAAGTTCTAAAAGACAAAATGGGATGAAATCACAAACTTAATGTTTTCACTAAGATATGTTGTCCTTGGCGTATTGTTTTAAGTGGAAAATGTTGATCAATTCTAGGACCATAAAAATGAATCCAGTAGCTTTAACAATACTTAATGGAGGTTTTCTTACTAGAGGTAAGAGGTCTCTAGCTTAGAAGGATCACATTCGGTCTGGGTGAGATTATGACATTATCCATAGCAGGGAAGATGATTATATTAACCACTCACCAAAGACTGAACAAAAATCTGCTATTTGAAGTAAAATTGCATTTATTTGGCACACAGGTAAATGGTTATTTTTTAATTCTTGTTTTATGTTTTTTTTAATATTTTATTTATTTATTAGAGAGAGAGACATCGAGAGAGGGAACACAAGCAGGGGCAGAGAGAGAGGGAGAAGCAGGCTTCCTGCTAAGCAGGGAGCCCGATGCGGGGCTCGATGCGGGGCTCGATGCGGGGCTCGATCCCAGGACCCTGGGATCATGACCTGAGCCGAAGGCAGACGATTAACGACTGAGCCACCCAGGTGCCCCTCTTGTTTTATGTTAATCTAATTCACAATTCAATGAGCTCTGCATCCTAAGACAGAACTAGCAATTCCTATGCAAATCATTTGTTAATTGAACTAAAAAAGTCTTCATTACATCCATTTGTTTGATGACATATTCCATGTTTTAATTCAAAATAAAGTTAATGTACTACCCAACTTGCCTTTGATCTTTTTTCCTGTTTGTTTTTAATCAGAAGTGAGTTATTTCTATGTGATTTTTTAATAGCATGGAATTTTAGAGTAATTCAGCTTTGTTGAGAAATATATTGATACTTGGAAGCCTGAGTAGATCTTTAAGCTTTATGATTTCATTATTTCAACTATGGAGAACTTTTGTAATGATCCCACAAGGTTTCTCATTCAGACAAAAATTACTGGGAGAGTCACGGAAGATACTGAAAACAGAAACTTTGAAAACAGAAATGTACACTGTGATGATTCATTATCCATAGACATTGTGGAAGGATTCCCTGCTTCTAGTTAACACATCCATCACCGTATACTGATCTGTGTGTGTCTTAATTTCTATTTTTATTCTATTTCTATTTTATTACCCGTGGTGCTGCTGGCCCTTCAGTTGCATGCAGTAGCTTTGTTGTCTGCAATAACTGTAAATATTTGGATCGATAACATCAGGTATCTGGAGAACTCCATGACCACTCTGGCTTCCCCCCTCCCCTGCTGCCCCCACCCTTGGCAACCACAAGAAAGTTTTGTCTCATCATTCTCCCACCCAGGAGACCTAGTCAGAGGACAAGAGCACTCCCCCAAATGGCAGGCTACTTGGGATGCCACAGAGATGCACTTTGGGGTGGGCCTGCACTGCAGATTAGAGGGTAAGAAACAGGTCCTAATTGCACAAAGTGCTTTCGATGCTAGAACTGGCTGAGCCTCAGGGGTAGTGACCAGTGCAGTCTGCGGATCATGAATAACATCAATAGAAACAGAAGGATTGTTACGTGCTAAGCACTTTACATAGTCTCATAAAAGTTCATATGCATTTTCTCATTTTCCCCTGACAGCCACGCTATGAAATAGGCATTATCATTATCCACATCTTGCACCTGAGGAAACTGGCTTTGAGAGAGACCCTCCTCATAACGTTGGCCTGGTGCTGTTCTCCAATCTTGGGGTTTTGCTTTCTGTAGTGGAGGAAAGCGAGGGGAGTAATGCCCAGATGCAGTCACAGTTGTAGCCTCAAGGCAATGAGGGTGGTGAACACAGGATATATTTTAAATATTTAGAGGCAGAGGGATGCCTGGCTGGCTCAGTTCATAGAGCATGTGACTCTTGACCTCGGGGTTGAGTTTGAGCCCCAAGTTGGGTGTAGAGATTACTTTAAAAATAAAAAAAAAACTGGGGGCGCCTGGGTGGCTCAGTTGGTTAAGCGACTGCCTTCGGCTCAGGTCATGATCCCGGAGTCCCGGGATCGAGTCCCGCATCGGGCTCCCTGCTCAGCGGGGGATCTGCTTCTCCGTCTGACCCTCTTCCCTCTCGTGCTCTCTCTCATTCTCTCTCTCTCAAATAAATAAAATCTTTAAAAAAAAAATAAAAATTTGGGGGGTGCCTGGGTGGCTCAGTCATTAAGCGGCTGCCTTTGGCTCAGGTCATGATCCCAGGGTCCTGGGATCGAGTCCCACATCGGGCTCCCTGCTCCACGGGAAGCCTGTGTCTCCCTCTCCCACTCCCCCTGCTTGTGTTCCCTCTCTCGCCGTGTCTCTCTCTGTCAAATAAATACAATCTTTAAAAAATAAAAAATAAATTAAAAAATTTTAATTAAAATTTAAAATTTAGAGGTGGATCTAATGATAATTGGTGATTAATTGAACACAGAGAGCAAGGAAAAGAGGGTTAGGATTATACTAAGATGTGTCAGGGGATCCTAGGACCTCCCCCAGGTTGGGTGATTTGCTGGAAACACTCCCAGGGCTCATCATGTGGTCATATCCATGGTTAAGTTTACAACAAAAGGATAGATAGCAAAATCAGCAAAGGGAAAGAGAAATGGAGAGAAGATGGAGGAACCAAGCTTCCAGTGGATTCACACAGGAGGAGCTCAATTCCTCTTGCAATGAGATGTGGCAACATTGACAAGTATTGTCTACTGAGGGAAGCTCATTAGAGACTCTCCCAGGCTTTCAACTGGGAGCTGGTCACATAGGTACCCTCTGCCTAACATTTACCAAAATTCCAGACTTCCAGAAGGAAAACAGGCATTCAGCATAAACCACATTGTTGTGTACAAAAAGGTGAGACACAGTGAGCCATTGTCATTTCAGGAAGGCTTTAGATCAGTGTAGGGAACGGTTTACTAGCCAAGTCCCCAGATGCCAGCCAATGGTAGATCTTGTAAGCAAAACTTTCTAACGTTAGTAGTCTCGGGTCTCCTAGGTTAATTCTTTTCCACACCCAAGGTTTACATGGTGGATGGTGACAGTAACTGTGTTATAAAGAAGGAAGCAGAACTGGAGTAGGGACAGGTTCAGTTTAAAGAATGTGTGAAATAGATTCCAGAAGGCAGTTGGAAACTGCAGCTTGATGTTTAGGACAGGACTGTTGCTACTGATTCAGGCATCACGTATGTAGAAGTGATGGTCAAAGTCATGGGTGAATGAGGTCCCCAGGGAGACTCTGGGGAGAGTGGAAAAAACTGAGAAGTGATTTTGAAGGATAAAGTGAAATCAGCCAAGGAGGTGAGATGACAGGGACAGGAGCAGGAAGTGAAACACATATCAAGGGACGAGAGAGTCAAGGGAGGCGAGGAGGGTGGGCGGCAAACCCCATGAAGCGTGACCACGGAACACAAGGGCTGACAAATCCCAGACTTCCGCTCCACAGCTTTGCCTTTGGTGAGCTTGTTCAGCCATCAAAGAACTCTAGCCCTGATTTGGAAGGGACAAGGGTGGTGACTGGTCAGGACCCGGAGCCAATGTTAAATGAAAAGAGATGGTTGTC